AATGCAGGAAATCTCATTTCACCATTAACACGAAATAAAAGGCCAGCGCAACACGGGTTGTAATCCTGTTTCAGGGCTCTGCCTTTGCCCACATGGCGCTCGTCCCTGGCAGGAGCCTGCTGCTGCAGCCTTCCCTCCGCAGCCCCCCAGATGGCCTGGGCTGGGTCTCAGGCGTCCAGATCCTATACTTTTTAACAGGTCTGGAATCAGAAATGCCATGCAAATGCTGAGAAGAGGGAGACGAGGCGGGTCAGCGGGACCAGCAGGCTGTGGTCTCTTGTTCCTTGATGCATTCAGCAGACACTCTGTGCTAAGCACCTTACCTGCATTATCTCCCCGACTGTCCCCAGCAACTCAGCAAGGTGATTACTGTTTAGTCCGATTTTATATCTCAGGAAACTGCAGCTCAGAGAGGTTAAAAAATTTGCCCCAGGTTGCACAGCATTGGAATCCAATGTCTGTTATGCCAAAGTCCAGTCTTCACTGCTGTCCTTTATGTTCCCAGTTTGAGTCTAGCTGTAGGGTTTGGCAGCGAACATGTATTGAGTTCCTGCTGCATACAAGGACTGGTGTAAGTTGTAGCATGTATGTGGCACTTCATTCATCAAGCTCTCTTATACTCCTTTGCTAGCGGATCCTATAAGCAGAGATTTGGGGAACGTTTAAAACGGGTACAACACAGGCACTTAACCACCTAAACAGCCGTACACTGTCCGTGAGGCAGTGCCCTGTCGTTTGCAGATAAGAACATTGACTGAAGTGCAGAGACAATAGCACCTTGTCAGAGGTCACACAGCAGGCGTTTGTTTGGCCAGCAGATCTGATTCTGTAGCCTCTACCTTCCTTCCTGCTCCAAGGAGGATCCCAGGGTGGAGTGGGGTCTCCAGTGCAGTTGGACCTCTGGCCAGCAGGGACCAGCCACCACTTTATTCCTCCTTCCTCCAGTCCCTGGAGGATATGATAACCCGTTCAGGGTTTCTGGGGCGTCAGCCTGGTTCCTTGGCAGCCAGCGAGGCTCCCTGGGATGGGAAATCAGGCAGCCGCCCAGATATTATAAACAATTACCGCTAATTACCAGGCCTGCCAGTTCCCCATTGTCTGCTCACAATCCCACCAGGAACTGAGGAGCAGACAATGATGATGTTGGAGGAAACTTTCAATTTCAGGCTGTGGAAGCCTCGCTCTGCCTAGGAGGCTGGGCTCCCTCGTGCCTTGGAACCCATGAGGCCCCACCATTTTTCAGGCTTTTGGAGCCCAGACCCTTCTTATAATCTGGAGCCTGGATGCCCAGATGGCCAGGAGGGCGGGGCGGGAAAGAGACCCAAGGGTATGGAGGAAAGGCTTTGGCGCTGGTGCGAGAGGGTCTAGGGTTGGAGCCTCAGGGCTGTTCATTAAGGGTCTTTGGTTTTGTAATAGTGGGTACACATTTCAGTCCCCAGACATTTAAGTGATTTTATTTTTCCCATACTTTCTCTATTAAAAAAAAACCACTATTGCATAAGACTCAGAAGCCTGGCTGCCTGAGTTCAAATACTGCTCTGCTTCTGCCTTTGGTTGGCTTCTTCCAGAGCAGACCCTGACTCAGAGATTCAAGAGGGAACCCGTTATCGGTCAGGCCTTCCCAGGAACCCCAGCAGGGGATCCGTGAGGAATGAGACAGGAAGGTAAAGGGTGTGTGATCAAAGCTGTTACCACTGAGGGCAGCTGGAGCTCAGGCCCGCTGGGGAGCCCTGGGAGGCTGGCTGGACATTCATCCTCCTATCTCCACTACACACCACTCCCAGTTTGTCACCGGTTGGGGGCTGCCTCTGGGGCATTAGCGCTCAGGCACTTCCAGCCTGGCCGAATTTGCTCTTGCAGCCAGAAAATCAGCCCTGAGACTGAGCCGGCAGCCTCTGTGTGTGCGGTGAGTGCAGAGAGGGCCGGGTGGGTGGCACACTGCCTATGTGACTTGGGCAGTTTTCTTAACTCTCCAGCTAATCTATAAAATGGGCCCAATAATAGTATCAACCTCATAGGGTGTTTGTTGTAAGGCTGAAATGAATTAACAAGTGTAGAGCACTCAGACATTAGTGGCACTTAGTGAGCCTGTGCGTTTGCTATGACTGATCTACCAAGTCCCCGTTTTTCCAGTTTGCTGGAAACTTAGTCTCACTTGGCTCAGGATTTTCCCAAAAGTTATACCCATGTCCCAGGGAAGTTTATAGAGAGAGAATCCATGTCAATTGCTAGAACAGGCCCAGGGCGACATTTAACATATTTAGTAAGAGGTACAAGCCAGGTGTGGTGGCTCACACCTGTAATCTGAGCACTCTGGGAGGCCAAGGCAGGAGGATTGATTGAGACTGGAAGTTCAAGACCAGCCTGACCTGGTCTCTACAAAAAATAGAAAAATTAGCCAGGTGTGGTGGTGTGTACCTGTAGTCCCAGCTACTCGGGAGACTGAGGCAGGAGGATCGCTTGAGCCCAGGAGTTTGAGGTTGCTGTGAGCTATGATGCTGCTGTGAGCTATGATGCTGCCACTGCGCTCTAGCCCCAGGTGACAGAGCCAGACCCTGTCTTTTTCTATTTCTTTCATAGCATTTGCCACCTGTAACCTACTGTGTTATTTATATTAATTATTTGCTATATGTCTCCCTCCACTAGGATGTAAGCACCTTGAAAGCAGGAATCACTGTTCTCTGGTATATTCCAAGTGTCCAGAACAGTGCCTGGCACATAGTACATGCTCAGTAAACATATGTTGAATGAATGAAATGGATCAAATGGATGCTGGCTATACTACTTGGTATCCCAGCTGAGCATCAGTGCTGGTTAGTATTCAGTAACATTGGCTGCCATTATTGTGCAGCTGAGATGTTGGGGACAGAGTATGTGGTCCTCAATCATCATCCATCCTTCTAGTGTCTTCTGGAAAATGATCATACTGTCTGTTCCTTGGTCATTGTTTCACACTGGTCTCAGCCACTCCTCTTTGCCCAGACTATCAGGCCTCCATGGATCTGCCTTTTTCTGGGGTACATCTGGATCATGTGTTCCTGTCTGGGGTGTGCAGGGATGTACTGAGAGCTTCAGGGGCTCTCCCAGGGGGTCCAGGGGGTCACTTGACGAGACACCCAAGCAGCCTTTTCTGCAAAGCATGTGTCCCTTGTTCGGCTCCACACAATAAGAAGGGTGGGCACAAGTCCTCTCCACTTTCAGATCCCCCAGACCTACCTGGAGTTTCCCGCCATCCCTCAGGGCCACCAGCTCAGCCCAGGGACCACAGCCCTTCCCCAAGGGTCCTGCAGCATCTCCGCTCTCTTTCCTCCTTGCCTGGCTTCCTCTGCTCTCCATGGCTGGGGATTTATCTGTTTAGGGGAAGGACAGCTGAGTTTTGTACCTATTCTAAGTCTGTTTTTTTAAGATGTGGAACTGAAAAGTCAAGAATCTGAGTCTCTTGTCTGCATCCTACTTGGAGGTGGTAGACACAGGACGACGCCCTGGTGTGGGGGCGAGCAGGCTGGGGGCGTAGGAAATCATGAAAAGGAAAAACATTCGGGCCAAAATGTCAAATTATTGTCTTGCCATGAACTCTGCTGATAACTTAAGTAAAAACAGAATCTGTTGCATACACTGGGGCACCTCTCAGGGCTGAGGGAAGAAATGAGCGGCCAGGGCTGGTGGCTGGTAGAGTTTATGGGCTCTTTGCAAGGGAAGGCCATTTGTGTGGCTCAGTCCTCATGACTGTTAAGTCTCTGAGATTCTCTTTGATTTCCCAGACAGAGTTTTTGGTTGGCCTACTTTGGGTCAGGCCTCTATCCCAGCTCCGGCCAGGGAACAGTGTCATCTTTTTGCCGGGCAAATGTGTTCCTTATCTGAATAAAGGTGTTAAAGGTAAACCAACCTCCTGTAGTTGTGGTAAGGATCAGATAAGAAAATGGATTGCAAGCGCTTTGCTCCTCAAGAAAATAGGGGTACATCAGGCAAGGTACTTAGTGCCTCACCGCACAACAGACCTATGAGATAGGAACGTTGTTATTCCCATTTCAGAGATGGGAAAGAAACACTTCAAGAGGTGAAGGGAGGGGGTGATCTTACTGAAACAGGCTTAAGCAATAATAAAATTATTCTTGTTATTGTTGTTGGTACTGACTTATATAGCCAAAAGATAAAATATCTTGCTTCAGGTAGAGCTTGATCCAGGATATCACACAATGCCATCATTTTGATGGCTTTGTTCTTGGGATCCATGTGGTAGCATGATAGCTGTCAGAAGCTCCAGTCCTGTGTCTCAGACTTGTCTGGTGGGAAAAGAGAGCTTCTAACTCCCCACAGTTCAAACAAAGCTTCCAGGCCAGATTCTCATGGGCAGAAATGGGCCACATGCATGTCTCTGAGCCAGTCACTGGACAAGGGGAAGAAATGCCCTGCTTGGCCAGGCTGAGCTGCAGGCCCAGCCTCTGGAGCTGGGTCTGTTTCACCCTGTTGCAGTCACGTGCCATGGGGAGGGAGCTCCCCAAAGGAAATTAGAGGTCTTGTTACCAAAGAAGGGGAAGTGGGTATTGGGCAGCCAAGCAGCAGGAACGAATGCACACCGCAGTGTGCAAACCCACGACTGCATTTCAAACTTTCACGTACAAACGGATCATCCAGGGCTCATGTTACAATTCAGATTCTGATTCAGCAGCTGGGGGTGGAATGGGGCGCAAGTCTGTGTTTCTGTTTAGCTCCCAGGGGATGCTGATGTGCTGGTCTCCGGACCGCGCTTTGAGTATCAGGGCCCTGAACCTCATGAGCCAGGGACTTGCAGACTTCATCTCCCTCGATTCTTGCAGTCACCCCAGGAGGTAAGTATCAACATATCCATTTCATGGGGCTGGAGCCTCAGGCTTAGCAAGGAGAGGTAGGGTGACGGACGTTGACAGAATGCCATGGAATGAGGGGTGTTCTGGACCTGTCCTCCTTAGTCATTGGAGTTGCCATTCAGCCTGTTTGTCCTGTCTCATCTTTTCTTGCAGCCTTAACTATGGGGGAGTTTGCCTGGCATCAGATGCACAGTTCAGTGACTTCCTGGGCAGCATGGGGCCAGCACAGTTTGTGGGCCGCCAGACCCTGGCCACCACGCCCATGGGTGAGTGCCCCAAGGCCTGTCCCAAAGGCACTGAGGTGGGGGGTAAGGAGGGCCCAGAGTCTCTCCCTCCGGCCCCTCTGCCTGTTGGTACATCCTCTGAGCACCCAGCCTGGAGCCAAACCCTCAGCAGAGCCCAGGCACTTGGGGTGGGAGCTGGTTCTGGTCCTGTTTTGGGCTGGGCATGGGGAAGGAGTTTTCATCCCCAAGCAGAGGGAGGGGCTGAGTCCTTGCTTGAGCTTCTGAGCCACTTCCCATCTCTCGGACCCTCTTGCAGGGGACGTGGAGATTGGCTTGCAGGAACGGAATGGTCAGCTGGAAGTGGACATCATCCAGGCGCGGGGACTGACGGCCAAGCCAGGCTCCAAGACACTGCCAGGTGTGGGGGCTGGAGGTCAGGGAAGATGTCCTGAGGGGTACTTAGGGTCTAGAAAAGAGAAAACTGGGCCCAACTGTAGGGGACCCTTCTGCCCCAACTGCAGTGTCTTACATGGAACTGGTGGTTTAGGGTTTGGGTGGGGCCCCAGTTGAGATCGTCTGTTGACTGTGGTGTTCTCCCCCACTGGACTGAGCTGGAGGGCAGGGGCCACCTTTCCTGTTTGTCATTGTACCCCAGTGCCAAACACAGGGTACTTGGCATGAGGTAGGTGCTCAGCAGGCACTTGTGGAGTGAGTGGGTCAGCAAGTGAGTGTATAAGCCAGGGAGGGGGTGGATGAGCCAAGGACCGAGAGAGGAAGCAGGTGAGCTCAGAGTGAGCAAAGGAAGGGGGAGCCCGTCTGTCTGGACCAGCAGAGGAGGTGGAGCACGCCCCACCTAACCCTGGCTGCACCTGCAACCCCCACCCCCACCTGCCCCTGTTGCATCCTCCCCAGACCCCACGGAGGCACTGCTGTCCCCAGCAGTGGGTGGGCTGCCTCGCTTTGTTGTACCCTTTGTCTGCCAGCAAGGAGCCAGACTACAACTCACCCCTGCTGACCTCTCTCCCAGCGGCCTACATCAAGGCCTACCTGCTAGAGAATGGCATCTGCATTGCCAAGAAGAAGACCAAAGTCGCTCGCAAGTCGCTGGACCCACTGTATAACCAGGTGCTGCTGTTTCCGGAGAGTCCCCAGGGCAAAGTCCTGCAGGTGAGGGGTGCTGGTGTGTGTGTGCATTGCCAGAGTGAGAGGGGGCACCTTTGAGGGGGTCTCTGGAGGACCTCACCTGGAGGAAATATACACTATGGTTGATCTGAGCCCCATAACTTACTGTGCAACTTTGAACAAGTTCCCTTCTGAGCCTCAGTTTCTTCATCAGTAAAGTGGGGATATTATTAGTCCCTGCCCGGGAACATCACCGTTACAGTGGAACGTGTGCTGCATGCAGGAAAAGTATTTGGAAGTTTGGCCCGTAGTAAGTGCTCTGCCGATGGCCATCATTATCATCATCATCATCAACAACCTCTAAAGGTCAGAGGCTTGGCCTGGAGCACAGTGATAACAGCCTGGAGGCCTGTTGAGGACCCCAGACAGGTGTTTGGCTCCAGCCACTAGGGAGGACCCTAGTGGTCACCCAAGCCTGGGGCTGGAAGCAGCTGCCCGTCCTGGGAGCAGGCAGGGCCAGGGTCGAATGCCCGCAGAAGCCACATGCCCACTCTCAGCTGCCGCTTGGGTACCTGTGGCTTGCACCTTAATTCTTGCATCCAGCCGGGGCAGGCAAAACAACTGAGGGTGGGGCTAGAGTGTTACAAGTTGCCAAGACAGTGGGGGACTTTTGCCAAACTGGGAAGCCCAGGTCCTGTCTAAGGCAGAGTTTTTCAACCTGTAGGTTGAGACCCATTAGTGAGTTGTGAAATCTGTTTAGTGGGTCTCAACTAGCTTTTTGATTTTTAGTGGAATGGAGTAGGAAAGAAAACATTTATCACTCTTAGTAAGGGGAATATTCTTTGTTGGGGCACTTGCTTCAATTACGCGTTTCCATGTGTGCGTTGGGTGGTAGGTTAATGTTTTGTTGTATATCGCTGTCAGAAATGTCTGGGAAGACCTACTCATCTAGAGGTATTCAGATACCACTTAAAATAATCAGAAGGCCATCTGGGGCCACACCTGGCCTGCCGGATGAAGGTTTGTGCATTCTGGCCCCCACATCTTTAGGGAAGCGTTGGTCCCTGTCCCTGTCTGGGGTGTGCAGGGAGGGACGAAAAACAACACGGACACGCACACCCGGACCAGGGGGGCACTGAACAACACAACAAAACAACAGACCAACCAAAACAGATGTCCCTAGTGCCGCTCCACACAAAAAGAACCGCCGGCAAAAATACAAGCAAACCACACAAACCCCAGAACGACCCACACTAACACCCCACCCCTAAGGGAAACAACCCAAGAAAAGCCACCACACCAAATCCACAAACATCCTGCAGCACCGCCGCTCACGGCCCCAACAGACGCACTTCCGCGGAACACAATGCAGCGCAAAATACCAGTGAAAAAGAAAGACAGCCAAGCACTACAACTAGGCTAAGGATCAGGTGCCAAAAGGGCAAACAAAAAAGACAAGAATCACACTAACCTAACGACATAACACCTCGAAGCCGTAGACAAAGCACCACGCAAAGCAGAGCAGGCGAGCAAGCCGGGGGCGGAAGAAAGCATCAAAAGCAAAAACAGCCGCACAAAAATGCCAAACAAACAGCAAACCATGAACTCGGCTCATAACGTAAGAAAAAAAACAAGCGGGCGCAGAAACAGCGGAAACCCTCAAGGCAGAGGTTGTAACCGTTACTTCCTTTGATCCTCACCCGCGAGGTAAGCTGAACAGGGATCGTTCCATTTACAAACAAGGACACTGAGGCTCAGTGAGGTTAAATGACTTGCCCAGAACCACACAGCCAGTGAAAGTGGTGGAGCTGGGATTTGAACCTACATATGCGTGACTCCAAAGGCTTTAACCCACCAGGCTCTACCAAATCATCAAGCCAGCCTGCCTCCGTAGAGCGGGGTGGAGTTGGGAGCTGAGATGCAGAACAGCGAATGAGGGTCCTGCAGTCACAGAGACCGTCCAGCTGGCAGCTCCAAGACTGGGAAATGGTTGACCAGGATGGGAGAAGGCCCTACAGAAAACGGTCGGGAGGAAGAAAGCTAGCGTGTGCTCTGTACCAGCCACTTTTTAAAACTGTTTACATGGAGGGTTTCTGAGGATCTGGAAGCAGAGGGCCCATGGGGGAAGCAGTCAGGGGACTCACGATGTAGGGTCAGCCCTCAAGGCCTGGGTTCGAAGATGGGGCGTGTGGAGGGTGGAGCAGAGAGGGCAAGACCCGAGGCAGAAAGCCGGTCACCCAGGCAAGCAGTAATGGGCGCTGGAGCTGGGAAAATACAGTCGGGCTTGAGCAACTTTACGGAGGTGGAAGTCAAAGGTCAATGGGGCATGGGGGCAGCCCCAGGCTCTGGTCCTGGGCCTGTGGGTGGTATTGGCAGGATTTGAACCAATGTGTCTCTTGCCCCGCAGGTGATCGTGTGGGGGAACTACGGGCGGATGGAGCGGAAGCAGTTCATGGGCGTGGCGCGCGTGCTGCTGGAGGAGCTGGACTTGACCACCCTGGCCGTGGGCTGGTACAAGCTCTTCCCCACCTCCTCCATGGTGGACCCAGCCACGGGCCCCCTGCTCCGGCAGGCATCCCAGTTGTCCCTCGAGAGCACCGTGGGGCCCTGCGGAGAGCGATCTTAGTGCTGGGGATTGGGAGGGGCTTCCCAAGAGGGCCTGGGGACAGCCCAGCCCTGACCTGGGACCCCAGGCCCATGGGCACACTGGACAGGAGGACGGGGTTCTCTCCCTCAGTGGGGAAGTAGAACGGGGAGACCTGCCCCCCTTGGGCCCCTCCTCACCCCTTCTTTGCCTCCTACTCCCTGAGACCTTCCCTCTCCCAACGGGATTGGCTACACTTTTGACTTGGCGGGTTCTTGACCTGGTGGATGTGGCTGCAGTCCAGACAAAGGAGAGACTGAGGTGGCAGAGCAAACCACTCTCCTGCCCCAAACACTGTCCACTTCCCCTTTTTGCCTCCTCGGAAGCTCGCTGCCCGGAGCCAAGTCCAGAACCCGGCCGGCCATCTCCATGGTGCCAATTACCAGCAAGTGTCTTTCCTGCGGCACCGGGTTCAGGCAGCTACTCCTGCCCCAGAGCCGTTGGGGCAGCTTTGCAAGGATCCGGAGCCAGCTCCCGGGGGCCCAGAGCCCCCCACTGAAGAGGAGCTCGGGCTTCCCTCTGCCTGCCCGTGGAAGGAGCTTTGCCGCAGCCTGTCCGAGTCCATCTGTCCGTCCCCTCCTGCCTGCTCCTCTTCCGGTGGCTCTAGAAATTGGGGTCCAGCAGGGATCAAAGGAAAGGAGGGGGTGCCCGGGCCTTAGTGAAGACCCGCAGGGTGCCTTGCTCCATGGGATTGCAACAGACTAGTTTGGGAACTATTGGTGGTCTGGAAAGAACGTTGTCATCTGTGTTTTGGGGGAGAGGCTATGCGACCTGAGTTTTCATAACTCCAAGCCTAGAGCTCACTGTCTCTTCATTTGGGGGATGTTGGATTGGAGGGGGAGGCTCAGGAAAGCTGGGATTGGGACTGGTGGTGCCAAGGTAAGGGTTTCCCACATAGGAGAACCCGTCCTTGTTGGATGAGGTCAAAGGTCATCTTGTCTACCCCTATGCCTCCAGGCCAGGGGTCTGGGGAGGCAATAGAGCCCCCCTATTTTAGTCTTTTTTAACAAACCATTCTGTACTAAGGGCAGAACCCAGTGCCCCAGCCTCAATTACCTTGGCTCAAGGAAAGATGGAGATAGGAGAGAGAATGAAGAGGTACGAGTGTAAGAATTGGGAGATTCCTTCTCAAGCAGGCCTGGGTTGCTGCCTTCCCAGCCTGGCCCTCCCTGGGGCCTGCGGGAGCCCTTTTGCATGCAAGGGAGGACATAGGCTGGCCCCTCTTTATAGAAGCACATTTCTGCCACCTCCCCTGGGAGGCACCCAGCAGCCTACCACTCCTCTTTACCTAGTCCCTGCTGTGTAGGGCGTAGTCCAGGTTAGCTGGGTAGAGTTAGTGTTCCAAGCCCTGGGGCCTGTTCTTAGCTCATACATAGTCCTTATAGAGCCCCAGGACAGTGGGGAGGAGACACAGGAACATTCCAGGAGACCACTGTCTCCTGGCTGGCCTGGCAGCCTGGTTCGTGGGAGGCCAGCCCCTCCTCCCCGCCCCCTTCCTTCCCCTGTCCCCCGTAGGGTTATAGCTGGAGTTGCCCATTAGACTAATGTTCCAATTTATTATCCTTGGTCCTGACTTTATTTACGAGGCACTCCCGAGGATCGCGGGGCCTTGGCAGACAGGGCCTGGTCTCCACTAGAGGGTGTCATTTTCCACTGAGGACACCCGGGCTGTCTTTGGACCCCCCCCCCCCGCGCTCCCCCCATTCCTGGTCCCAGCAGGCCATTCCTTCCACCTGGAAACTTTCCCCTGCCCTCAGCCTGTTTCAGCCCTGGGTATCCGTTAAAGTTCTATCGGGTTATAGCACCTCCTTGAGCGTCTTACACTGCTCTGGGAGGAGGAACTGGGGAGGCCCCTTCTATCCCGGAAGGCTTCAGAGCTTCCTGTGACTGGGGTGGGTCAGATCCCAAGGCTGTGGGCACGTGGGAGCAGGTCTCTGGGTGGAATCAGCATCCCGCCCCCCATTTGTGTTTTTAACCAGTGTGATTTCTCTGCTGTTCGTTTATTACTCACCATTTGGAATATTTTGAGCCAGGAGAGCAACTTCTCTCTCCAGCCGGCACTGCTGTGTTTGTTCAGGGGTAGCTTTTCAAAGACGGGGCAGGGCCCGGCTGTCCCAACCAGAGGGGAAGGCAGCTCGGCCTGGTAGCCTGAGCCCTCCCTCTGGTGGCCGCACAGCCTTTATAAAGAGAGAGAGAGAGAGAGAGCTCCGAAGCAATAACAACACCCTGGGGGTGGTCAGCGAGGGCCCCCTCAATGATTTTCTTGTTTGTTCTGTGAAATCTCGCTCACCTCCTGGAGGGGTGGGGTGGATGGGGGCTGGAGCCCTATTTCTTTGTCTCATGTTGTGAGCACATGCCCGCCTTGTTCGGGGCTGTGACCATCAGGTGTGGGAACCACCACCGTCTGTCCTCACCAGGGGATGGGGGTTTGGGGAGGGGAGTGCCATTTTCATTATCTTTAAGGAAGCTTCAAGCCCCGCCCAGCCTGTCCCTGCTGCTGTCTGATCCTTTGCCAGCTTAAACTGCATCATTCGGAGAGCAGTGGAGAGGTGGAGTTCGGGGGCCTTTGGGGTCTGGGGTCTCTGGGGTGATTTTATTTTCAATCTCTGGGGCAGGGGCACCATGGGAGGGAGCCATCTCCACTTTTTGTCTCCAGAATCCCCTTTCATACTAAAGGGAAAGGGCCTTCGGGACCATTAGTCCATTTTCATTTTACAGACAAGGAGACTGAGGCCCAGCACAGGGGAGGAGCCACCCCTGGGGTCACCTGTGCATTCAGTGGCACCTCCACCTGAGTCCCCGCCCAGCAGAGGCTGAGCTGGAGCAGAGCAGGATGAGGTGGGGCAGCCCCTACCCTCACTTCCTCCTCCCTGCTCTCTTAGGAGCCTCCTAGTGGCCCTGGGAAGATGGGCGGGACAAGTCGTAGCCCATCGGAGAGGTTAGGAAACTGAGGCCCAGAAACAGGAAGTGACTCACCCGAGACCCCTCAGCAAGTGTGCGACAGGGTGGACAGAACTAGGGCTCCATGGTGCACCCTTCCTTCAGGTGACAGAGGATGTTGCCCCAGAGCATGTCTGCCAGGGCTGCACAGCCCTGCTTGGCTCCACCTCTGTGAGCAGGAACTTCTGGGTGTGGGTTTGTGGGGAGGGTTGCCAGGGAGACGCAGCCCTGCTGGGGGTCTGGCCCAGCTGACTGAGGGGCCACAGGATTTGGTCCAGGCCTTGATGTCTGGGTGGGGGCTCCTGCTGAGGGGGTGTAACCCCTCCGGGACCAGCTGGAGGGAGGTTAAGAAACACCTGCTCCTGCCCTGGGCTGTGAGCGAGTGGGGACAGCATGGTGCCCCTCAGCTTAGGGAAATCTCCCAAACCTTCAGGTGTAATGAGACCTGGCCCTCCTGCAGTGCTTTTCAAACTTTCTGTTTTCCGAATGCTTTCACCTTGAGTGCGCCCTTTGGCCCTCACAAGAGCCCCTGGGTAGTTGGTGGGGGCCTGAGTTGGCAGCCCCATATTAAAGAGGGGAGCTGAGGTCCTGGGCGGGGAGGTGCTTGCCTAAGGCCCCACTTAGGCAGGTTAGTGGCAGAGCCAGGTGGAACTCGGTTCCCCACCAGTTCAGAGCTCTTCTACACCGGGAGGTGAAGGGGAGAGTTTCCGGGTGGTTATGCATTTAACAAGCTGATTAACCATCCAGTTCCTTAAACCAGGAGCTCTTGGGTGCATTTCGGCATCAGAAACAGCACTGAGTCCCACCCTCTTTGGAGGTACAGCTGTTGCATCAGGCAAGGTCACCTGCATTTATTTATTGAGCAGCAGCCCTTCCAGGCCCAGGGGACTGAGCCCATTCCTCTGTAGTGACTCCGACGCCCCCTGGGAGGGCCCGTGTCTGTAGAGCAGCACCTCGGAGTGGACAGAAAGTGTCCACGGCTCCCCTGACTCTCAACCCCTGTGAGGTGGGCTGGTGGTGGCCATTTTACCCAGAGCTTCTGTGAGGCCAGAGTGGAGACTTAAACCCGGGGCCGAGGGCATTGCCTCTGGAGCCAGTTCACTCTACGGCTGCCTCCTAATGAGGTGGCAGGAAGGCAGGGCCCTGGGTCCTCAGGCTGGGGGCCTCTCTCCGTCCACCCACTGTTCCCTCCTTCCCTCTCCAGGAGCAGGAGCTGTCCAGGCCTTTGGGGAGGGAGGGTTTCCAGGGCCCCTGGGTTGGAGTGGGTCACATTGCATTGTGTTCATGACCATGTAGCTCATGTTGAAAATTAAAGTTTTTGGCTTTTCTAACCTGGCTTGCTCTCGCTTTGTGTCGAAACCGTTCTATCTGGGAAGCTGAGGGAAGCTGGTGTTTTAAGGGGCTGAGTGCTATAGGGTGCCAGGACACCACACCAGGGGCTTTGTTAGTGCCCCCTGTGGTGCAGGGGCCTGTTCCAGAAAGCCCCGCCAGAGATGCAGAAGAGGGACAAGAGTTCTGGGTGAGCCCAGTCACTTTAAAGATGTGGAAACTGAGGCCCAGGGAGGGGATGCGATTCCCCAAGGTCACATTGCTGGTGATTGAGAGCTTGTACCACAGCATTTGGCTGTGTCCAGGTGGCCCAGTGACAGTGGGTGTCATGTCAGCAAGGCCTCCCTCAACCCAAAGTGGGGCTAGCCAGGGACAAAGCATCAGCTTTACGGGGTGAGGAGCAGCCGTTCACACATGGGCTAATTTCACTCCACACCGGCCCATCTCTGTTCCCAGCGCTGCTGGAAGCGTGAGCATCTGGCCTCACCGATTCCGATGAGGTTTCCGGGATTGAAAGTCGTGCATTTCTCCTACAACACAGAAAACCAGGCTCTTCACACAGAAAAGTTGCTCTGAAGGGCCCGTTGGTGACGCGGACCTGCGCAGACCCTCTCCTAGGTGCCGATGTGGCCAAGCCTTCCTACAAATTGGACTAGGAGGGATTTGCTCCTGCAGGGTGGCTGCAGAGTCTGGCGCGTGCTTGTGATGCGACTTCAGTATATTTTTGGAGAGGGAGGGAGGGGACTAGCCACAGAAGGTGGTGAGAAGCTGCTAGTCGCGGAAGACAGCACTGGGCCCCTCACCCTCTCCAAGCCCTGGGGAGGGCGCCCTGGAAGGTGACGCCGCCCCTGGCATTCCGGGTTCCACCGGGCCCGGGTAGCGCTGTCAAATGGACCTCCGTCGGGCCCGGGGCCTGTCTGCCTCCCCGCCGCGCACGGCCCCAGGGCTGGAGAGCGGCGAGAAGCCCAGATTGTCGCGGGCGCACGTTTCCAGCCAGTGCACGCGGCGGGCGACGGAGGCGGAGCCCCCGGGGCGGGGCTGGCGGTCGGGCCGCGCGGGCCGGCTGCTCTCCGGCGCCCCCGGGCGGCGCGGGCGGGCGCGGCGGGCAGCGCGCTCGGGGGCGTCGGCGCTGGCAGCGAGGAAGCGCAGGACCACGAGGTTGAGGAAGGCGCCGATGACCGTGAGCCCCAGGAGGATGTAGAGGAAGCTGAAGGCCACGTAGGGAGGCTTCCTCTGCAGCGCCCCGTCGTTCTGTAGCGCCACGAAGTCGCCGAAGCCGATGGTGGTGAGGGTGATGAAGCAGTAGTAGTAGGCGTGGAAGAAGGTCCAGCCCTCGAAGTGCGCGAAGGCGGCGGCCCCGAGGGCCAGGGTGGCGGCGCACGCCAGCAGCCCGGCCACCACCATGTTCTCGGTGGACACGCGCGGCCGCCGCAGGCCCAGGCAGCGCTTGGCCGCCAGCAGGAGGCGCCGCGCCAGCGTGTTCAGCCGCCCGCCCAGGCTCTGGAAGGTGACCAGCGCCAGGGGGATGCCCAGCAGCGCGTAGAACATGCAGAAGACCTTGCCCGAGTCCGTGCCCGGCGCAGCGTGGCCGTACCCTGTGCGGGGAGAGCGGAGGGGACGGCTGGTGAGTGCCCAGCTCCATCTCCTATCAGGTGTCCCTCCCCATCCTCAGGGCCCGCAGCGCATCTTCAAATACTAGTTCTATTTAGGTCATTCCCCAGCTTTAAAACCTTGAGGGGTTATTCATAATCGCCCCAAACTGCAAATTACCCAGATGTCCCTCAACTGGGGAATGGATAAACAACCTGTGAGACATCCAAACAATGGAATTCTTTTCAGCAACAGAAAGGAATGAACTACTGTTACCTGCGGCAACGAAGGACAGATCTCAAATGTATTGTGTTGAGCGGAAACTCAGAAGCCTGCCTACTACACGTTTCCATTTAAATGACAGTCTGGAAACGGCAAAACCATAGGGACAGAGAACAAATCTGTAGTTGCCAGTCACTGCTGTCAATTGCATGACAATAGCTTTCATGGTATTCTCCAAGGGGCCCACACCGGAGGAAAAGTCAGGTGGATCTTCTCCAACAGAATATGCCTCCTCTAGGGGATTGGCCCCATCTGCCAAAAACCAAAATATACAAACCCTTTGACCTATACAGTCCCACAGGAAGTTAGCCTCCAAAATACATACATGTGCGAAATGTCTGCACGTGAGTCATCACTACAACATTGTTGGTCATAATAAATATCAGAAACAACCTAAGTGTCCATCAGTGGGGGCCTGCTTAAATAAATTATGGTGCATCCAAATGATGGAATACTGCACAGTCGCA